TGTCCAGTGCCTACAGCTGTGTGATGTGAGTCAAACACCAATCCCAGGTAGCTTACATTCTCATTTCATGCTCGAGCTGCCGCAATCTGGATGAGCTACGACAGTACTGTCTCAAGGAGCCATTCTTGCTAACAAACTTGAACGTCATTGCAAGCTGCGTTCTCTTTTTTTGGCTTGTGTGTCAAAGTCTATCACATGCTTCAAAGCACAAGCTGAAACAACCAGGACGTGACAAAAGTTTGCAGAGCGCTGTGAATACACACTTCGCTTTAACAATATTTATCTTTACTGTGTACTACTCATTTGTCTACAAGCAGAATCACAGCAAAGCCCTCGAAAGGCATCTGAAAATACTCAACGATAACAAGTTGTGGCTGTTTGAGTTACAAAGTGCCCTAAGTCACGGCTGCATCATAGTTCCGGCGATATCGGAGTTTTTTACCTCGACACACCATTTTGTGCTTCAAACTCTCGCTTACGACATCCCGCTGTTGATACTCTGTTACAGCGGATGGAACGCTTTGGGTAGCTATATTTTGCACGTGCCTATCTATCAAATTTCTTTCTTCAACAGAGATTTTGACTGGAGATTATCTGATGCTTGTGTTATCTTTTTTGCTGCCTACATCTACTTGAGTCTGATACTTATTATCTCGTTCAAAATCAAACAATTCCTGTTCGAAAGCTTCCTGGCTGATCCAGCTCCACTGGCACTTCGCAACCGGAAGCCAGTGAATCACTCGTGCCACAACTCGGTTGCTTTGCTAGTATCGGCAATTTACAACTTTGCCATTACCGCTTATATTATTTCCAGGCGTGTTTCTCTCAGCCAGTAAGGCGACGCCGATGGCGCATCATGCGTTAAAGGATCGCCTCCTGGAATTGGTTGAACTTGGGCAGACGAATGCTGACTGTAAGGACTTTGTCTAAAGACTGGTTTATCAGTATCAGTATGAATACAATGTCCAAATATTTCTTTCTTTTAATAGACTTTTCCTTGGTTCATCTCAGTAATTATTTCTTGGGTATTTTGCTCTGCAACGACACGCCTTCGGAGAAAATATTAAGACGGACCCCGCTGTAATGAAATTAAGCCCCGTACATCAACTTGGCGCCAAGGAACAGTCCGTAGTATGACACCAACCCACAGAGTGTCGTCAATGACAACACTCTGTACCCTCATGTTATCTATTTGGATTGCGGAGAAAACGGTCATGCCGATATAGCAAATTTGCTGAGAAATCATCAATGAACACTATTGTTTTTGGTTAAGTATCAGGCAGTCTCCCGCGAAGTATCAGGCAGTCTCCCGCGAAGTATCAGGCAGCCCGCGACCTACATTTGCCACATGCGTCTCCCGCGTATACAGGTATTGACAAACAGATTTCACCTACAAATAGGGAACTACAATGTAGGTATAGAAACGGCATCATTAGCAATATATATGAGGGTACACTCTCGTGTCATAAAGTTCCAATGATGCTGTCCACCCGGAGCTGTACGTTTCTCCGACCATCTCTGGGGCGGCATACTCTCCAGCCTAGAGCTCCTTCTTGGCGGAGCGGTTGCAGGTCGCAACTGCAGGTTCTGCTCCAGCAGTGTGGCCGTTGCGGCCATAGATTGCTTACCAGTCTTAGAAGAAACAACACTTGCGGGCGCCTGGGCAATCGCCCCGCCTGCCCAGTGGTCTCGGGCGATGCCAGGGGCACAGGGTCATCTGATCCATGCAGCTGCTGCTCAGCTGACTCTTCCCTCGAATCCTCCTGCGCTGCTTGCTCATCAGAACTCGCAGTCGCCGCCTTCCGCAGGTGTTCATCCAACCCAAAGCTATCCTCGTCAGGGGCTGGAGCCACCTGCCCTTTGAGGTAGGCGGCAGCCTTTAAGTAGGCGCAGTGCCCTCGCAGAATGCTACCGCTGTTGTCAGCCCCGCGCTCCAATCGCCAATCCAACTATACCATTCTATATCTTGTATCGTTCCTTAATATCACCTGCGCTATCACCTGCACACAAGGGAGAACATCAAGGAGATGCCGGTGACGGCGCAAATGCATCACCCAGATATTTTCGCCGATATAATTTTATTTGCCTCACGCCTCCCCCTCGCTGAATTTTCTGGCTCGATGTTCGGCACAACACATTCTCGAGCCATCTTCTTCTTGAGTTGGGCGGGTCCAGACTGGTTCACCATTCGGAGCTTGGCGTTCATACTCGTGTATCCGGTATTATTCACCACAATTGCTATCCGGTGGGTTGTCCGTCTGCTGTATGCCAGCACAAGTTACTTTCGCTTCAAGCCTTCTGTATACTTGGTGGGTTTTCCCAAGTGTGGAACCACTGCGCTGGTAGGAATGTTACCGAGGCACCTAGATGGTATTGTTACGCCAAACTGGTTGGCTGCTATGAGCAAGGAGACCAATCGTCTGCAAGTCATGCCCTGGTTGCCATATGGGACATTCTTTCCATTAGCTTTCCGAGCACGACCTTGTTCGGTTGTGATGGACGCATCTGTTGATGTAGTATTTACACCACATCTTGCAGCTTCGTGCGGACCGGAGGCCAAATTTGTGATATGCGTCCGTGATCATATCTCGGCTATCCAGTCAGCGGTGAACTTTATTTTATTCCAAATAGCAAGATGGAACCATAGCCCTAGTCTTCGCCGTTTTATATGCAGCATGCAAGATCCGTCTATATATTCACATGGGAGTGGTCTTTCAGATTACGTGGACCTCTGGAAGATTTCATTTACGCACTCAGTTTCAGTTATAGAGACCACCCTAAAGATGGAAAAGCAAGCTGAGAGCATTGGCATTGTCCCATTTTTTCGAGCTATGCGGATGTGCCCGGAGAGTGACGCCGCTAAGAAGTCGTTTTTGTTTCATATCGTGGCTCGTCTTATCGCTCAATATTCAATGGCGTATCACATTTCACATTTTGCCGATGCAGTGTCTAGGGATAGAATCTTGGTTGTTGAGAACGCAATATGAAGGCTGGGATCCTCAGAGTCGACC